TGACACTAGTGTGCATCAGGGGGGAAAGTGCTGGGCTCAGGTTGTATGCAGGACATGATGCAGCTTCAGCAACACACACACACTCTGACTCAGCTCATCCTCTCCTCATACTGCTGTCCAGATGCAAGTGACAGTGGGGTCAAGTTTCAGTCTCTTCCCTCTCTCTCTCATTTTTTTGCCTTTGCATACCATTTACATGCACACACACACACACACACACACACACACACATNAGTAGAGACACTACATACTGATATACACCTGAACATCAGCAGGAGAGGACTCTTTAAAGTAGAGACACTACTTACTGATATACACCTGAACATCAGCAGGAGAGGACTCTTTAAAATTCTTTAATAGGAAGACGAACAAACGTTAGACTTTTAGTTAAATCAACAACTTTTCCATCATAAGGGTCACTGCAGGTCAGCTTCTCTTTCTGGTCATATTTATTCTCTGACTTTGAAGCTGTATCAAGGTCAGTTCTTCCTTTGCCTCATAATCCTTTCAGGTCTTCCAGGTAAAGTTCAGAGCCACCTTCATAGAGTATTTGATGTAAAGGTAGGACATCTAAGGGGACTCTCAGCAAATGGTAAAATAAGCAGCGAGACCCAGAGACTGGATTGCATGGATGAAGGTTAGCACAGAGAGTATGAGAAACTATGAGTAGTGCACACAGCTTGGCTACGTCTTGAGGTGAGAATTAATAAATGCTGAGTATACATCCCATGGTGGTCTAAATCGTACAGCTGGAGATACTCAGGTCACACGATGACTAAAAAGCTGTTTCTATCACAGACGCAGCAGGCATCAAACACACACCGATGGCTCCTCTTTCATCTGAACATGCTGGGGCTTGAACCCAAACAAAAGAGCTTCAAACACCCAAAGGCTACAGAGTTAGCGTTATAAAAACTGCAGATGCATGCATGATGCTGATAGGTAGACGCATGCAGCTGTCTGTCATTAAGTTTACAAGTTATACTGTGGTTAGACATGACGGTTGAAACAGAGGACAGCAGACAAACCTTTAATTTATGTGAAAAATATTATAAAGCCCTGCAAAGTTGCTATAAAGGAACTACAGCACAGCCCCATGACTTCACGTCACCACCGCTAAGCTAAAGGAGGCTAATGTTGGGCTCTAAAGGAACTACAGCACGGTCACATGACTTCACGTCACCACCGCTAAGCTAAAGGAGGCTAATGTTGTGCTATAAAGGAACTACAGCACGGTCACATGACTTCACGTCACCACCGCTAAGCTAAAGGCGGCTAATGTTGGGTTATAAAGGAACTACAACACGGTCACATGACTTCACGTCACCACCACTAAGCTAAAGGCGGCTAATGTTGAACTACAGGACGGTCACATGACTTCACGTCACCACCGCTAAACTAAAGGCGGCTAAGGTTGGGCGTGATGACGTTTAGTCGTCTCATTTAGACACTTGTAAACAACCGCCATTTTAAAAGTATTTAGTCGTAGAACAAAACATGAAAATCTCTTACGGTTCAGAAGACCTTAAATCAGGCTTCTCACCAAAAACATGTCAAAAAACATGGAACAGAGAGCACAAATTGTAAGAATGCTAAGTTATTTCTGGGCTTTAGGACTCATTTCTGCACCACTCTATGAAGTTGTCCAGCTGTCACTGTTGTTGGAAGGTTTTGACATTTTATCGGCTTATTTTGGCTGTTTTAGAACGTTGTGTGCCAGCGTAGCACTATGAATCCAAACATAACATAACAAAAAGCAGACAAACCCACTCAGCATGTCTCCGGAGCTTAGCGGCACCTATGTGTTCTTTAACAGAGCCATTGACGGAGATAAGCAGAGAGTAAAAGGCCTTGCTGACCTTGCCAAAAGGTCTTTTGATTGCTGCCCCCTCTTTAGACCGCCGGCTCGGCCATTAAATCTCTTACACAACTGCTGGCCTCTGCAGAGCTCCTGACAGCCAAGTCTGCATCATCCCAGCACAACACATCAGATCTGATTGTTAAATATCACCTCCTCTGCCACAGCTGCTGTGACAGCTCTGATACAGTGAAAGGTATGCTAAGCTACCAGCAGGGGAAGTAAACCGAATCTAAATAAACACAGTAATCATTCAAAAATAAAGAAATCGGTCTCTATTCTGCTAAAAGAAAAGAATCGAAGTGTCTCATTCATTCTTCAAATGAAGGTTGACCTGCAGAGAACGACTGGATTTACAACATAATAGAAAAGGCTCTTAATTAAAAACTCCTTTGTCTTCAGATTACAGTTTGGATCAAAGGACCAGCAGCCGTTTGCTGACGCCAGCACACACACACTTATTGGCATTCTAGTATTTCATAGACTTTCCTATGGAGTAAAGTGGATTAGCCCAACATGACCTGAAAATGCACAGGAAGGAGGCCAAAACAAAAAGTACAGCACACAGCAGCAAAGCCTGTATTCATTTCCTCATTTCCACATGTTGCTGATAGTTTTTTATAAGAAGTTCTGCTGATGAAGCAATAGGTCGCGCTTGTTTTGCCACTCATTTTTCTCTATCATCAAATATCAACGCTTTGATCAAAGTACATTTGCTCAAATATAGTACTCATTTCATACTTCTACTCCACTACGGTTAACCGACAGCTTTTACAGATTCAGATTATAAGCTAATACATTATATAAATCAACTAATAAATAAACATTGACATGAATTGAATATACTGTATCTAGCAGCAGTATATAAAGTAATTAGCTCCATCTTTACCGGCTGTAATGAACACATTAATGCTAGCATAATCCTGTCATTTAATATGCATGATCCTGTTGGTGTGTGTGTTGTAATGTTATTTTACCATCCAGTAATATGTTATGTTTCCTGCACACACACACGAGGATAACGTAGAGAATTATCTCAACATACATTTCCCCAGTAGCGTATGTATCTGATAAAGTCCTCCCTATGTGAAGTCACTGAGTGAAAATCAAGCCACTGCTCATTTAACGTTCCAGACATTTTCACTTTATCTAACTTGATGAGTGAGTGAACTTGTGGATGGGAACAGGAATCCACTCCCAGTCAATAACCACAAGCTGCTCCTGTCAATGTGATAAATGGGAGGTTTAGTGATTGGATACCAGTGGGTGTTTATGGGATGACGGGTCACCACTGATTGGGTGTGGTCGCAGCGAGGGGGCTGTGGGAGGACAGCACACATCTAGAAAAGTGCTGAGAAGTTATTTCCTCCAGACCGCACTTTTTAACACCTACTTTGTTTCCATAACTCCTTCTGCTGCAGTTCAAAAATGAGTTTCCAAATAGTCTTAGGAACCAGCAGTGTGAGAAAATGTTATACTTGAGTTAAATACATCTTTCTAAAAATACTTAAAATGAAGCTCTTTCTTCAAAATCTTACTTAAAAAGATTATTTTATGCTTTTTGTGGTACTTCCTTTACTCCATTGGACTTCCTTTGTTTACTTCCGAAACTAAGTGACATCACAAGGGAACACTTGCACTCCTATTGGCTAGCGCTCCAACACATTGTACTTGATAGGATAAGGGGCGGGACATCTGTAAGCAGTTGACCAATCACAAGGTGCTGCCAAGTTAGACGTTTGCTAAAATGCTAAGCTAAGCTAGTTGTCTGTTACCATGACGATGTAAGAGCGGGATTAATCTCATCAGATCAAATCTTCTTTCAAAATGATAACAATGAACACTGCAGATGCACAATTATTTTGGTGTGTGTGTGTGTGTGTGTGTGTGTGTGTGTGTGTGTGTGTGTGTGTGTGTGTGTGTGTGTGTGTGTGTGTCTAGGCCGACCTCTGTGGCAGTGACCCAGATCTTTGGATTGATTTGCAAAGTCGTTAAAATCTCAGCTGGTGAATAAAAGACGGGATGTCGTCAGCAAGTATGGAGTTTGAAGATAAGGATAAGCCTAATTATCAGGTACACACACACTTAATATCAAGCATCAGTGCACGACCTCTCACATAAACACAGCCTCATTTTCTCCCCCCCCCCACACACAGACACGTATTTGATATTTCCCTTTGAACATGACCTCGCTGCAACATCAAAGCAGTCTATTCCACTTCTCACTCATCTGTGTCCAAGTCGATTTTCAGTTCC